GATCCACCCCTTCCCAGATCCCATTTAAGGGGTGGCAATGGAGGTAAGAGTATCTTTTTTCTTGCCTACCTCAGGGCATTCTAGGCTTTTGGAAGGCAGACAGTTTGTTGGGTTTTTTTGTCTTTTTTTTTTGTTTTTTGTTTGTTTGTTTTTCCTCCCCTCTTTCTCTGCCTGCTCTCTTGTATTTAAGCAGATCCTCATTTGCTATTGCTTAAGACCTTGCTGCTCTGCTATCTTGATATTCTTTCTATTTCATAATAATGCATTTCTTAAAACCTTACCTTTTTAAAAACTTCAGCTGAAAACCTAGTCTTTTTAATATAGGAGTCTTTAGAACGTGATGCCATGCCCAGTAAGTATAAGGGGAGTTGGGGGAAGCAGAAAGCATTCCTGTTTAAATCTTATGATTTTACATGTAGGAAAGGGTTATTTCCTGACTTCTCATCTCTGAGTAATGCTATACTGGAGAAGAATATTGCAAATCTCAGGAAATGATTCCTTAAGTGCTAGACAGAAAATATATGTATTGAGTTTAATGGAGGATATAGAGCACATTTAACTATGAAAAACAGTTATCTGACATAAATATCCTGATAAAATTTCTTCGTGTTTTTGGCTACCTCCTTTCTGAGGATGGTCTTCATGTCTGTTCATCTATGTCTGTTATATTTAGAATGCGGGGAAGTGAAAACTAGTATCTCACATATTACACCTACAACATCCTATGGCATACCTTTTGCAGAAAGTTACAGTGAAGTACAGTTTGAATAATCTCTTTTCATTTCAAATTGCATTAATCTGTGTTCTAACAGAGGATTCACAGAAAGAACACCCTTCTTAAAATAAAAAAAAAAAAATTGAAGATTTACTGTGGTCTACGTTATAAAATGGAGTTACTTACACAAAATTAAGAAACTTTAACCTTCTCCAGTTCTAATGGTTAATACTTCAACCTTATTTCCACCACTATCCTATGCTTCAAAATATTTTTATATATTACAGTTGTCCTTTATTTGCGTGCTATGAAGACTTGAAAAAGAAAATACTGTGTGTATTTATTCCATAAACATGCGATGTCATTCTTTTTGTGGGATAGAAAGCTGTATGCTTAAAGCTACTGTACAAACAGACAGAAATAGAGATCCATCCTGACATATTCTTAGGGATATGGATTACTGTACTTTTTTTCCCAATTCCTGTCACAATGGATCCATTTTGTAACCCTGTTCCCTGACTCCTGGGCATGCCCTCATCTGGCACGCAGCAGGAGTAAAAGGAAGAAGGAAATATAGAAGTGGAAAAGGGGACTCATGAAAAAACTCCAACCCCCTAGCCCAGCGGGCAAAATATCTAACCCCTTCATGTCTAGGCGTTTTTACTTCATTGTTTTATATGTCACTTTTTTCTTAATCTTTCTACTTATTTTTTCCATCAATACAAAATCAGTGAATTGATATTTTCATTTTCAAATTAATTGAAAGATGGTGGAAATAAAGTTTAAAAAGTGCTTCAAAGTGCAGCGTATCAGAATTCAGACTGTGTATCCATGCAATTGCAGTTGCTAGTGGTCTAGCTTCAAAAATCCCCTGCCTTAGTCAGTATGTAGAAAGTGTGGTGCTTCAGAATGAAAGTATGAGTTTATGAAGTTTGAGATGTATTTAATCTACTGAAGTGATATACTGCAGTACATCAGATTATTCCTGTTTTAATAGCATTTAGAGACACTATCTGAGTTAGGAAGTAAGGGATGGGTATGTAGTGGGCATTAATGTAGTGAAGGATATTCTTTGTCCTCAGGACTTTACAAGCTGACAAATAGAGGAGCCTTGGGTTAGAAAAGCAATAGTACTCAATTTGCCCGAAGTAATTTCAGTAGGGTAGTGGCAGAGCTAGAAACAGAAGCCCATTTTCTGAGGCCTTAGCCACTGCATTGTCCACACAAGGAATAAACACAGCTCTGGCAATAAATACTTGAGCTCAAATGTCAACTTCTGTACAAAATGTGGTTTTGCTGGAGCATTTTTATTTGTGCTACTTTGTCCTAGAATGCTGGGTTATCCTTCACAGGAAGAAAGAAAGAAGAGCAATTTAAGCTGGAGATAACGTCCTGGATTAAGCCTTGTGGTGTGCATCACACATTGTCACAGTATAGAGCAGCCAACTCTCTCACCCCACCATTCCTCCAAGCTAAGATGTAACACATCTAAATCTCAGTTTCTCTACCAATCAGGCACACACCACACTGCCACAGCACTTGGAGGTTAATTACATATTTATGTGTTATCAGCAACAGTTTCAACTATATCCCAGTGCCCTTGTTTGACTAGGGAAGTGGCTGCATTTTTTTTTTAAATGAAGACTTAATTTTTATGGATAATAGCACTACTTGGTTGCTTAAGGTACTTATATCATCATGTTTCAGTTTGGCTAATGAGCAAAAAAGACTAAAGAGTCTAATGGACTCTTAGTATTATGTAAATGTTGCCCTTGTTGGATTTATTTTTCTTAACATAACACCAATAAAACCACTGTATAGACAAGACAATCTGTATAACATTTAAATGTCATACTTTCTTATTCTTCATTTAAAAAAAAAACCACAACAACACAGAATATTGTTGGTTTAGATAAATACTGCAGGTCCTGAAATTTGTAAGGAGGTTGAAAAGAGCAGAAAAGGCTAAACTGCTTAAAGTGTTGCCAAGGGCTCCAGCCCTTACATTCACCACTGTACAGATTACCTATGATTAAGGTTGGCACATCCTGGAATCCCACTGTTGTGATGCTCTAAGCTTGCATTCAGTGTTTTTATGGTAGGATCTAAGATCTATATTTAAAAAAAAAAAAAAACAAAAAAAACCCCACCAAAATAATGTCATGAATACTGATTTAGAATTTTTATCTAGAATACTAATACTTATCTGAACGCATCCAAACATTCAATAAGATCACTTGTTACAGACAACTTGTTGGTTTAAGGTTTAAGGTAAGATCTTGAGTTAGATTTTTCTGTAAAATAGGCTTTATTTCTGATGGTAACCCAGAGGGATACTTGAGAGTATAAGCAGGAGTGTAAAGCGTCCTTTTTTGTAGTACAACGTTCTGGCTTCTGCACATATCCATTTAAGAACTTCCTAAACATGAAAGTGCAACTAGACTGAAGACAAATGAGTTTATCCTCCATTAATTTGTGCAAATTCTTAGCTCACATACTTTAGGTGCTCACAAATCCTCTAGCAATAAGCTTTGAAAGTTTAATTATGCTTTGCATGAAAATTGCTTCTTCTTATATTCTTTAAACATGTTATCTGTTTCAGTAAGTTCCTCTAGTCCCTGTGCTCCCAAGGAGAGAGAATTAAAAAAAAAAAGTTTTTGTTTAACTTTTCTGCCTGATTCATGTTCAGAATTTCTGCTTGATTCCCCTTTGGTTTATTCAGAAGAAATATATAAATTTTCAGGAACAAAATAATAGATTCAAAACAGTTTTTCTCCAAAAAGTTCATGTAGTGGTTGAGATTTTCTGAAAAATCATGATATGGGGAGGAGAAGTGTCCCATGAATAAGTTTAATTTTCCATCACTTGTATATTTCCATACACACAGGTATAAATCAAGCATGGTATTATACAGCATCTGCGTGAATAGACTAGTATCAACATATACAGCCTAGGTATATGGACATGTTAAAGGAAGAAGCTCCATAGAATTCTATCGTTACTATTACTGAATGGTGCAGAAAGTTCTACACTAAACTTCACATGAGTGGTTGATCTGTGTTACAGGCAGACCTTATTCATGACACCAACAGAATGTTCCCAGCTGGGATAGATCAGTTTTAGGCTCTCATCTCTGGTTAATTTTGTATGTGGCAACAAGTAACGTTTTGAAAGTAGAGTAAAAGCATGCTTCACCCACATTTTCCTAGTCAATACTTACAGCTACCTCCTGCAAGCAGATTGACTGAAGTAGTAACTTATTTCAGATTTAAAATCCAGGAATCTGCTCTTGTATGTTTTTGGCATGTGATACTGCAGCTCTGGGTGCTGACAATTTACATGGGTACAGCCTGAAGCTGTATACTGCATATTCTGATCCTCTTTCAAACACTTAATACAATAGGGTCCCAAGTACATTATGAACAGAGGAAAACAACCCCCCACGTTCTATTTTAGTATGTTGAGCCTAAAGTCCATTGGCTGGGAGCTGTCATCAGACATGACCATATGTTACCCAATGGTATTAGAAGTAAATCCTAATTGAGTGCAAATTATGAAGATTAAAGTCACCTCACATTTAGCTGCATTACACTGAAGCGAATGTAGTTCAAAGCCTTATTTAAAATGCTGGCAATTCTCAGCATAAAAATTAACAGGCTGTCATTACCTTGGATTTTATGAGCTGTTTCAAATGTCTGGAGTTCCTTGTTTGGACCTCTTAGTCAGAAGCAAAGAGCAGTCCGTAGCAGCACAGACTGGAAAACACCAAAGACAATGTATCATCAACAACTTCTGAAAAAAGGCATTAAATATTGATACAACTAAGTGACATGAAAAATCTACTGGTTATAAGCTTTTCATAAATAATGGTGAAAGACTGTATGATGGCTGCTTTAATTTGGTTAAGATCAAAGATTCGGATTCAAGCAATCCACTGATAGAATAAGTCAGGCCTTGTTTATAACAGGCAATGTACTGCTTTTTGAAAACAATTAACTGCCAGAAGGATATTCCTTGAAGTTTGTTACTGTTTCATAAGATGTCTGTAAAGCAGCAAGAAGCTGAACTTCATCTATTCGTGCACTTTGGATGATGCACTTCATTTTAATGAGATTAAAGGTTTAATGCAGATAAAAGATTTTTATCTCTTCGGTGCACCCGTACTCTATGCAGAGACTTCAGTGTGATTCACAAACAGAGGAACAGCGGAGAGCTATCATCATTCTGACAGATAAGAGCTTTTGACTTCTTTCTTATGAACATTTCCTTTTTTATTCCATACAAAATGATTGGAACAAATTTATTCCTGTTCTCTGTTCTGATCGTGTGCAGTATATCTGCAGAGGAAATCTTTCAGCCAACCCTTGTGCTGGACATGGCTAAAGTCCTACTGGATAACTACTGCTATCCTGAAAACCTAGTGGGAATGCAAGAAGCCATTGAGCAAGCCATCAAGAGTGGGGAGATCCTGGACATTTCTGATCCAAAAATGCTGGCCAATGTCTTGACAGCTGGAGTACAGGGTGCTCTGAATGATCCAAGACTAGAAATTTCCTATGAGCCATCACCTCATGCAGCTCCTAAACAAGAAGCTGAAACTTACCTCACTCGGGAGCAACTCTTGAGTCTTATTGAACATGTTGTCATATATGACAAGCTGGAAGGAAATGTTGGCTACCTGAGGATTGATTATGTCATAGGACAGGAAGTTGTGGAGAAAGTTGGAGCTTTTCTGGTAGATAAGGTATGGAAAACACTGATAAATACTTCTGCCTTGGTGATAGATCTTCGTTACAGCACTGGAGGTCAGATTTCTGGAATTCCCTTCATTATCTCATACTTGCATGAAGCAGACAAGATGCTACATATTGAAACTGTGTACAATCGGCCTTCCAACACCACTACTGAGGTATGGACATTGCCAAAAGTGTTGGGAGAGAGATACAGCAAAGACAAGGACGTCATTGTTTTGATCAGTCATCACACCACAGGAGTGGCTGAAGACGTGGCTTACATCCTGAAGCACATGAGCAGAGCTATCACTGTTGGGGAGAAGACAGCTGGGGGCTCGCTGGACATCCAGAAGCTACGTATTGGCCCTTCTAATTTCTACATGATGGTTCCTGTGTCACGATCTATCAGCCCCTTGAGTGGGGGTGGACAGAGCTGGGAGGTGAGTGGAGTGATGCCATGTGTGGCTTCTGAGGCAGAGAAAGCCTTGCAGAAATCCTTGGACATCCTGGCAGTGCGCAGAGCTGTGCCTGGCACTCTAAGTCGCCTCGCAGATATTTTAAAGGACTATTACAGCTTAGTGGAGCGAGTGCCAGTGCTGCTGCGGCACCTTGCTACCTCTGACTTCTCTACTGTGCAGTCAGCAGAGGACCTTGCCACCAAGCTCAACACTGAGATGCAGACCTTATCTGAGGACCCTCGTCTGTTGGTCCGAGCCATGATGCCTGGTGAAACTACTGCCCTTCCTGATGAGATGCCAGTTGCAATGGCAGCCAATTTGCCTGATAATGAGCAATTGCTGCATGCCTTGGTGGATACTGTTTTCAAAGTGTCAGTGTTGCCAGGCAATGTGGGCTACATGCGCTTTGATGAGTTTGCTGATGCCTCTGTTCTTGATAAATTGGGACCTTACATTGTAAAAAAAGTCTGGGAGCCTCTCCAAAATACAGAGAGCATGATCATAGACCTACGTTACAACCCTGGTGGCCCTTCCTCCTCTGCTGTGCCTGTGTTGATCTCTTACTTCCAAGATCCTACTGCTAGCCCTGTCCATCTCTTCACAACCTATGACAGGCGCACCAACCATACACAAGAGCATAAAAGCCAGGCAGAACTGCTGGCCCAAACCTATGGAGCTCAGCGTGGCATCTACGTGCTCACCAGCCGCCACACCGCTACAGCTGCTGAGGAGTTTGCTTACCTCATGCAATCACTAGGCCGTGCCACGCTGATCGGTGAGATCACAGCAGGTAGCCTCTCACATACCCGTACCTTCCTTCTGCTGCAGCCTGAACAAGGAATAACTTGTGGCCTAACCATCACAGTCCCAGTTATCACCTTCATTGACAACCATGGGGAAAGCTGGATGGGTGGTGGTGTTGTGCCTGATGCAATAGTGTTGGCTGAGGATGCACTGGAGAAGGCAGAAGAGGTGCTAGCTTTTCACAGAAAAATGGGGATGATTTTGGAGAGTACTGGGCAACTTCTCGAGGCTCACTATGCCATCCCAGAAGTGGCTGAAAAGGCAAGTGTTATGCTCAGCACCAAACGAATTCAAGGAGGTTATCGATCAGCTGTAGACTTTGAGACATTGGCTTCCCAGCTTACTAGTGACTTGCAGGAGGCATCAGGGGATCATCGGCTTCATGTTTTCCACAGCCATGTGGAACCAACGCTAGAAGAACAGCTTCCCAACATGATTCCCAGCCCTGAGGAACTCAGCTATATCATTGATGCACTCTTCAAAATTGAGGTATTGCCAGGCAACCTGGGATACCTTCGCTTTGATATGATGGCTGAGGCAGAAACTGTAAAAGCAATTGGGCCTCAGCTGGTGCAGATGGTCTGGAACAAGCTGGTTGACACAGATGCCATGATTATTGACATGAGATACAATACAGGTGGCTACTCCACTGCTATACCAATACTTTGTTCCTATTTTTTTGAGCCTGAACCTCGTCAACACCTCTACACTGTCTTTGATCGTAGTACCTCCCGCAGCACAGAGGTGTGGACTCTCCCCAAGGTTACTGGCAAGAGATATGGCTCCCTCAAGGACATCTACATCCTAACAAGCCATATGAGTGGCTCAGCAGCTGAAGCTTTCACTCGCTCTATGAAGGACCTACACCGTGCCACAGTTATTGGTGAGCCCACAGTAGGTGGTTCCCTCTCAGTGGGTATTTACCGAGTTGGCAACAGCTCCTTATATGCCTCCATCCCTAGCCAAGTGGTGCTCAGTCCAGTCACTGGCAAAGTGTGGAGTGTGTCTGGAGCAGAGCCACATATCACCATCCAAGCCAGTGAAGCCTTGGCTGTAGCTCAGCACATTGCCAACCTGCGTGCACAGGTGCCACAGATAGTGAAAACCATAGGTAAGCTTGTGGCAGAAAATTATGCTTTTGTAGACGTTGGGACTGATATAGCATCCAACCTCACCAGAAGTATCAACAAAGAAAATTACAAAAGGATTAATTCTGAAAAGGAGCTGGCCAGGAAGTTAACTGCAATCTTGCAAGCTCTTTCTGATGATGAACACCTGAAAATGCTCTACATTCCTGAACATGCCAAAGACAGCATTCCAGGGATTGTGCCAAAAGAGGTACAGTTGTTTTTGTACTCTGCTATATTTATGCTAACTAGAAGTCAGTGCCTGAGTGGGCACTGTACTCTGTCTTACCCTAAGACGAGCCAGAGTAGTAGCTTGTGGTAGTAGATGATAGTTCTGGTTGCGTGCATTCTGGAGACACCTGCCTCCAGGCTGCTCCATCAGTAGCTGTCTACCACATGTAAAGATTCTAATGCAGGGTTTCTATATTGGAGAGAAAATACCTCATCATTTCCTATCACAGAAAATTATTATGTTTTTTCAAGCTTTAATAAATTAACACAGAAAACTACTGATAAAAAATGAGTTTGCAGCCTAAGAAAATCCTAGTTGGTCCAGAATAAGGGCATATACTTGCAAAACGTGCGATCCCATTTTGCAGTGGATTTTTTATATATAAAATTGCCATATCTGTCGTCTTTTAACTCTGTTATACCTGAATAATAAGCCACTCCTTTTGTATCGGTGGTGAAAAGTTGTTCTGATTGCATCTTATGCTCAGCATCAGATAGTCTGCCAGTGAGCTAGAAATACTTTGGAAGAAGTATCTGGGTAGAAGTTAGGTGACTCTTGGGAGAAATTTATTTTTAATAATCTCTTTTTGTTCTTGCTGGGTGGTTTGCATAACAGTCTGTGCTTTGTTCTGAGCCTGCCTATTTATACACTGGTCTGCCTTGGCAATCTTTCTTGTTCATTGTTGTGCTGAAGGGAGCTCCCAGGAGCACTTGTTACAATTCCATGTTCAAATTAAAAAGAGGGTTAGGATAACCTGATCCCTTTCTTGGGTGGAGTTATCATCTTTCTGGCTACTGCTCCAGCATGACTATCAGAGACGTCATTTCCACAGGGACTCATAAAATTATGTTTTGAAGAGATTGCATTTGCTTTTGCAGTGAACCAGAGTATTCCAAATGTCAGGTAACTATTGAATGTTTCCTGGGGAAGGAAATCTGTGGGTTCCTACCCTCTGAAGTTTTGGGCATGCATGAATTAAGGTGAGTGTGATCTTTGTGGTATTATCTCCAAAACAAAGGTCAGGGATAAAATCCAAGCATTTTCGCAGGGAGGACATTTTTATCAAGTTTGTTAACCAAGAATTTTTACCTCCAAGCAAAATCATAAAAACAAACAAGCAACCACAAATAGAAAAAATGCTTAAATGGCATTCGTTAATTAGTTAAATGGAAATCATTAATTAAAGGATTGTGTTTTCTATTCCATCATTGCTCTCCCTCTCCTACGCTTATTGGGTGTAGAATATTTCTCTCTAAAGGGATTTTTGACAGTGCCTCCTGCTAAATTATTAGCAGACTAATAGCGGTTATGCATCTCCATCCTGCAACTTAGTCACCCTATTATCTGTAGTCTCCTAATGGATATTGTCATCTATTTTTATTAAAAATTATTTTATTCATGCCTTGAATGTTGAGAACAGAATGTAGAAAAATCTTGTTTTTCACATGATGTGAAATTCTAATCTTGATAGAGCTAATGAGGAAATGCTATTATGCTAACTAATACCCATATTTATGTCAACTCTGTCAAGCAAAATGGTTAGAAAAGGTCGGGGGGGTCTCATCAACATGAAGGAAATCATAGCAGTGTGCATGAAAATCTGGACGAAAGTGAGATTTCTTCAAGGGGAATAAGGTATACAGAACAGAGGAGAAGCAGGGTCTCTTATGATGCTAGGATAGCAGCCAAAGGAGGAGGTATTCCCAGTTACTGAACTTCATGAGTTTTTTGGGATGATGAGAGATCAGAAAGTACCACTGAGATGTTTTTTGGCAAAAGAAAGTGAGCAAACTAAAATTTGAAGTAAGGGTTGTTCCTTTTGGACAGCAGAGGTACCTTCATTTCCTCACCCCCTTTTTTTTTCCGCACTGTCCCTGTCTCTTCTTGACTCCTCTTAGAGGATAATTGATTCTGCCTTGCTTTTGCAGAGCCGAGACAGGTGCTTTCTGTAGATCATTTCAGAAATCCCCCATTCCAATATCCCAGAAAGTAAATGACTTGAGGTTACTGTGATGTTTACATAATAGCATTAAATGCAATTATAAATCCACCTTTTTTAGGACAGTTTTAAACAGGAACAAAAAATGGCTCTTTAATCTGCATTATGCTCATTCCTTAAAAATCAAAGAGCTGCTTTTTTCCTTGTGCTACCAACCTTCCAGCCACCCTTTCCCATAACAGTGGGATTTGTTGATAATGACCTTGACAGTGAAGCAGATCCAACACAATTAAATGAAAGTGATGATGAATAACTGCAGAAGGGATGGAATGGGACATGGGAGACAGACGAGCAAAATGCATGTAGACCTTTGTATCTGCTACACTAGAAGAGCTGCTGAGGCATAATACTGGGTAGCGAATACACCTCCTCCATGACAGCAGCAAGGTCAATGCTAGCTGGAGATCTCTGCTGCATAAATGCCACTTTCCCAAGTCAGACTTTCCAGAGGTCAAATGTTGCATATATGGTTTGTGAAAAGAGGTTTTTGCTTGTAAAGCATTGTTCTTTGAGGGGATGAATACTCCTTTGGTAGCTATTCTAGCCTCATAAGAGACCTGTGCTTCTCAAGCGCATTGTCATTAACATTAAAGTAGATTTGCATTTAATACAAAATACATAAAATTTGCATTATTTTTATGGATTTTTCAGTGGGTGCTAGATGACAACTCAAAACTCAGCTGAGAATCATATTTTCCAATGTAATCTTCAAGGGTATTCCAGGCTAGAAAATAACAATACTTTATGGATTTTATAACCTTTTGCTGCCTGGTTTGCAATGAAAACTATATGTTGTCACAGCAGGCTGGTGCACTGCTGTGCTGAGCAGCCCATTGAAGGGTGAAAGTACAGCTGCTTACTGCACTCTCCCACTGTGGACTGACACCCTTAAATAACCTCTTTTAATCCTTCTCAGAGAGCTGTCCAAGTGCATTTCAGCTCTTGCTTATGGTAACCTCTCCATTCTGGCATAATGAAGGACAGAATAAGGATTCAAAGACATAGATCCAGAATAATTGGAGACATTATCTGTGAAAAGTTGGATGGAATTAAATAAGAGCATATGCAAGATTTTTCCAGTTTCTAGAGTGAGAGTAACTGACTGCATTACTCTGAGAGGAGAATGGGTTGTTTGGAAGGAGCTCTGTACAAAAGTGTATGGGTCCTACAGAGTTCACAGTCTGAACACAATTTCACAAAGGGAAGTTGTTGCAGTAAAAAAATAATCATCATGAAAATGGTATAGAGAAGCACATCTAATTGGCAAAACGTGCAAAGCCTTCAGCTCCATCTTAACTCTGAAGCCTCAGTTGGAGTGCACAGTATCCAGTCTTGTGCAATACTATTCTGAAAAGTTGTGACTCAAGAGAGAAGAGCCCAGGAAATATGAATAGAAGTGAAGAGTAGGCAACAATTGTCTTGGAAAAGTTTAAAGGATTTGAGGTGTTTATTCAAGAGACAAGAAGACAGATGATACACAAAACCAGTTTTCAGTTAGATAAGAGGTGATTTTTAAATACGAAGGGAGTAAATCTCTTTCCTTGTCTGTGTTGAACAGGCCAAGATGTAATGCACTTAAACTTCAGAAAACAGTAAATTTAGAGTGTTTACACAAGATAATAGGAACATCTTGTAAAGTTAGTGACATACTAGGACTGCCTGAGGAGGAAATGTATCTCTGTCACTGGAAGTTTTTGGGAGCAAGTGAGAAGCAGCTTTCAGGGAGACTGCTGATCCTGCTCAGTTCTTGAGCTGAGGAACCTACTAGGCTGGATGGTTTCCTTTCAGATTGTAAAGGTGCACAAAAGTATCCAATGTTATTCTGAAAAGGAAAGAAGAAACATCCCCACACTGCCGCAAGATATTGTGGTTCTAATGCCAGCCTTTGGATATGCAACAGCACAAGGTTAGCTGATGATATTTTAATCTGGAAGTTGACAGCACTAGCAGCCTTAATACAGATAATAGTTAAACTACAATGGTCAGCATGAAATTAACTATGAAAATGCAGTTTCTGTTTAAATAAATAAAACAGCATAGGGGAGAGGTGAAAGGGGAGAAAGGAGGCAAGAGGTGCAACTGTTAAAGCAATTTGCCTATGGTTGGTGTATGAGCCAGTGATGAAAATCCGTGCGTGTTTCCCAGGGCAGCAATCTAGGTCTTATTTTGTGTCACGCTACAGGTTCTACTTAGGCCATGTATATGTAGAAGGTGATTGCAGAATAGAACTGGACAGACACCCTATATAGTTAACAGAAAAATTCTTCTTGGATTAAGTGATGTTAGCTTGGAGGTCCTTTACTCTAGCCAGATTGCTCGTACTGTTCTTAAGGCACCTGAGGTTTTATATTTAAGCATCAAGTCATTTGTGTGTAAACACTGCCTAACTGAGCAGCAAGATCTTAGTCTCAGCTGCATCCTGTCCCGGCTTGTCCTTGACCTTCAAACATAGTCCTGCCTTCCAAAGGAAGTTATACTGTTAGTCTCTGAAATTAGGCTCACCTCCTGAGATACCAGCAGCATGAAACCTATGTTTCAGTGTCATGAATCTGTGGTTGTCAAAGACAGTAATTTCATAATGTCAATCCCAGCCTTCTCCTCCCTTTAAAAATTAGGAGGGTTTTTCCTTCTTTTTGTTTTAAGAAAGTGCATTCCAAGTGCTTTTTGTCTGACTTCCTTTTAGAGCGTTTGGAATAGACGTATATTGATGCATTTTTCTACAGCCATAAATAACATGTAGAAAAAAAAATATTACCAGGTATAGACAGAAGGAGCATTCTTGATCAGCATGCTTCTGGCTGAGTATCTTACAATTATTTTATAGAAGTAAGAAATGTGAGTATTCAATTGATATCATTGGTAAGTGGCTGAGAGTACCACATCAGTTTTATTTGCATGTTACCAATGAGTGATGATTTTTTTCTCCGGAGGGGACTGGTACCTCTGAACTAGAAATGAGCTCTGTCAGAACAATGCAGGGCATGCTGGACATATTCTTCAAAACTGTGATTTGTTAATCAAAGTACAGTGAACAGATCATGTAGCATTGCTGTCACTGGGAATTGGATTGGAAATGACAAACTCAGCAGCTCAGACTTATATGTTTACAGTCAAGAACAGTGGTTATTTTTACAAGGTACAATGAGAAAGAAAGTACAGAAGAGGGCTCAATTGAGTTTGCTCTCAGCATTAGATCAACACTATTGGCCAGCGAAACTTTTGAATTTATGGTTGAAATTTTGGCATATATAATGAATGCTGAGGAAGCTCAGGGCAGGCAGAAGTGTGATATATAAGGTAATACTCCCCAGGGTAAAGGGAGTATTACCTTATGTATCACATAAGGTAATGTGATGCTTAAACTGTGTCAAGCACAGATGTCTCCCAAGTTCTGGATCGTGTTGCAGGTTGGGAGAGCACCTCTCATGTGGCATTGCTGATTCTTTGTTCTTTTCACTATAAAGCTATGCATTGCCTGGGGCTGAGCCATAGCAGAAAAAGAAACTGATTAAAAAGCAAGTGTACAACCATTTTCACAAAGACCCTGAGGAGAAAAACCCACATTGCAGAAGGTCACAGAAGTAATATATATACCAAAGCTTTATCTCCATAAGCTGGAGAATCTTCAGTTTTCAGAAATATGTATGCAAAACATAAGTTTGGCAATAGCAACAGACTTTGTCTCCAAATAATATAGGGTTACTAGAACAACTTTATTAGTTGGCTATGCTTTGCTATGAAAAAAATGTCTGCTGTTTAATAACATCCAGATAAACAAAAACGAAATTAATCACAGCTTAACATGAAATTCCATGCACAAGGCTACCATACGAAAAGACTTAACACATGTCCACCTCATTATCATGCCAGCACATGCCCAACACATGAAGTCCCTCACTGTCACAGCGGCTGGCTTGTTATCAGTGCCTGGGAATGGTTTCACCTGTAGCCAGCAGCTGTTTGTCAGCTAAGCCCAACCATGAGACTAAAAAGGCCCCAAATGCCTTCATTAGAAAGAATTGCTGGAGGAAACAGAAGGACTTGGGTGGCAGGTCTGTGATGATGACTTATGCTGCAGGCCTGGGGAGGTTTTTGTGGCCTTCTTAGCTTCTTTGGCCCAAGGAAATTCCTGTATTTCTGAAAAATGAACTGAGACTTGACAAATGGGGGCCTGATCCAGTTTCTTGACATGCTATTGAGGGATCCTATACTGGGCAAAGCAAGCAATGCCAAACTAAGTTAAATATGCAGAAGTTTTAATATTGTTACATTATCATTCTTCAAATTTGGTCAGTTTCTTAGGTGTGTTCCACCTGGACTAATCCTGGCTCACAAAATTCCTTTTAAATCTTGTGCCAAGCTATCAGTGCCAGCAAATGATTTGTTTTGTTTTTTCAAACTCTTTCAGATCCCTTCCCCAGAAGTTTTTGAAGATCTGATTAAATTTTCATTCCACACAAACGTATTGGAAAACAATATCGGCTATCTGAGATTTGATATGTTTGGAGACTGTGAACTTCTAACCCAGGTGTCTGATCTACTGGTAGAGCATGTTTGGAAGAAAATTGTTCACACAGATGCATTAATCATAGACATGAGGTAAACCTTTGAATGGCAAATAACCAAACCTCTTTTGAAACAGTATTTTATTTGTAACAGAGAATTAGCTTTACATGCCTTACTGTCCTGTTTACAGAGTAATATAACTGGAATTAAATGAGAAAAGGAAATCAGCCAAAGAAAACAATAACAGTCTGGAAGTATATCTCAAGAGAAACTGTACTATCACTTGAGATGTTTAAAACTAAATAGGCAAATCTACGGGATACGCTGCAGGACACAATCCTGGACTTCACATCTGTTTTCTTTCTCTGATTTCTTTCTAATCTAACTCTGCATGTGTCTTGTAATAATTATATATGTATGGCCTAATTAAATATTTCACTGCAGGCAGTGGTCAAGTCAAATGGTCAAAAAAACAGATCACGTATAAGCCTGTTGCAGCACCTAGACTGCCATATCTGCTGAATTATACTGGGTAGCCAGCCTTGTACAGAATGACTGTAATGCACAGAGCACAAGGGTGGCCTAAGGGCACTCTCTTGCCTGAAAAATACTCTGGCACTCCTAGACCCTGCTGTGCAGCAGTCCTGTGCCTTCTCTTTTGGGACTGTGTTGGACACTCCAGTGTGTCAACAGTGCTCAAAGTTTAATAAGCCAGAAGATGGCATCCATTTGTTGTCAGCTATCAGTGCAGATGAATACCAGAAGGGTACATTTCCCATAAAATATTTCTATAGTTTATTCCCTTGCCTTGTTTTCAAAAGTTTATAAGCCCAAAATGTTATAAACAACAATTAAAAAGAGCCAGTTTTGAATACTGGAGCAATTTCTGTTTATTGCTATAATGAGTCTTTCAAAAGTTGTCAATTTTCTTAGTTTTCTTCTGGGATTTGCAGCACATGCAGGAAAAGATGAGCACAGCTCCCACTGTGTGAGTACAAATGAGGCAGTATAACAGTCAATCAAAATCACCTGGCGCTGAAATTCATTTAAGCAGAGATATCACTACCTTTAAATAGACTTGAGATAGGGCCGGGCTTTCACTTTTCTTCCTCTGATTTTTCACAATTCATTACTCATGCCAGGGCCAACAAAGTAGCAAGGATGATGCCACATCCCAGGTAAGAAATGGTCTCAGGATAGTCTTTTTCTTCGCTTGCTTTGTTGTTTTTTTTGTTTGTTTGTTTGTTTTTTATCTTTATCTTATTTCCACCCCTTTGAGAAAGCAGACCTGGGAGCACTGAGAAGGCTCAGTCTCTGAAATCATATAAAAAGAACCCCAAGCATTTTACATTTTGAAACTCAAACTAAGTCAGCATGATTATTTTAGGGCAAAACTGATAATTCCAATTTTGCATAAGATCAACTGTAATACATAATGTCTCTCACCTTACAAGTTCACCTCCTTGGCTACTCACCAACTCCATATTTTTATTTATCACAGCACAGAGAACAAAGATACTGGTAAACTAGATATCTTTCCTAATGTCACACAAAAATTCTGTAGTGAAGGAAGATCTTGCCCGAAAGAGTTAAAATTCTCACAGCTGCTCAGTTAGTATTACTAACTAAAGTTTCTGCAGTTTTTCTGCCCTGGAGAGTCCCAGAAAGAGCTCTCCAGCATTGCTCTATTTCTATTGTCTTGTCAAAATGTTTCTTGTGTTCATCATAAGCCATGTTTCTTTTTCTTGACAACAAGTTTGATAATTGGAGAAGCCTCTAAACTGATGTTTGCAGAGGAGGGAGATGTCTGACATTTGCTTTTCCTTCAAAATCTTTTGTACCTCACCAGCTCAAGTCTGTGAGGCATACACTGCAGGGCAGGCAGCTGCTCTGTCATCTTGCTGCCTGGCTTCTCTCTGGTGAATACTTCCATCTCTCTGCTGTTCAGCCAGCTGCACAAGGTTGGCAATGCATTGTATATGTGGCTAGATGGGAAAATGCACCTTAAGCACCTCTTTCCTTTCTTGAAAGTGCAGGAGGTCATGTTGACTTCTTGGCTATATCTGATAGTCAAATTAATCCTCTTGGGGAGGGATGACTCTGCAGCAAGAAGACAACAGATATCAGTGCTCCTCCACCTTGGCCAGTCTGTTACCACCAATAGGCAGGACTTGGCTTTTTTGGCAATAACTCAGATCACTGCCTCCTAAATGTGTGCAGTGACAGCTGCTTCAGGTTAGGTATTTATTCACACTGCCTTTATCAGTGACACTGTGGATTAGTCAAAGCAGAAGAATAACTAACCTGATGTTTCTCTACATATTAAAAGCCGTTGTGTACTTTCTGATATTTTTTTCTCCTAGAGAATCGAGAGAAAAACAGACTTCTCTGTGTTCTGTTCACATTTGTAGCCAACTGTAGGAAGTAACAATTCCAGCCTGTTAGATGGGACTTTGTTTCTGCTGGTGGAGGAGAATGAATGTAAACGCATAAAAATGTAGCATTAAGTACTCCCAGTAATTATGTACTTGGAAGGGAGATTTAGCATCTGCAACAAATTTTCACTTATTTTCTTCATATTCTGAATTTCTGAAAAGGTACAATATTGGAGGTTACACCAATTCCATACCAATCTTATGTTCATATTTCTTCGATGAAGGGCATCATGTTCTGCTGGACAAAGTTTATGACAGACCCAGTGACTCAATAAAGGAAATATGGACCCAGTCACAGCTCAGAGGTGAGAATGACAATTCATTTTCAGAGTGGCTTCACATTTCTGGTGTTGTGTTTTAGAGGGAGCCATCAGATACTATAACTCATTAGAAGAAAGCACCTGCTACAACTAGCTCAAGCTGTAATAACAAAAATGTGCATCTCAGTCCTGTCTCTAATGCTATCCTAAATAATTCCTAGCAGTGTAGTATGTTGGATGCAGAAGTTTATTAACTGGTCCCCAGAATTTTAGCTGAATACAGTAGATGGCAACTACGACTTACTGCTATGAAGCTGACAAAAATAAACCCCTTGCTGCTTAAACTTGTAGTATCTCTTCCAATACTCACTTAAGTTTTACCTGTAGCACTTCAGTTTCTACCTGTGTGATCTTCAAATACTATTTCAGTAGATGAGAATACAGGCAGTAGCCCAATTTGTCTAGAGATGGCAAGAGCAAACGAGGCATTAAATTTTGCACATCTGAGTGCATTTGGACCACTTAGTGATGTGTCACACCCTACCCCATCGTCCCCAGAAGTTGATGGGATGCTGCAACATGCAGGGAGAGAGATCTTCAGTGCTCATGAAGTGTGGTTAGAGAACTGGACAGCCTTAAATACTGGCTTTAATTCTTTTCCCCTTTAAAACTGAGAGACTTCTGAAAGAGGTGTTACACGGTATCTGCAGTTACTGGCTTTGAGTATACTGAAACAGTTAAATTTCGTGGCAGGCTGCAGGGTCCATCTATTCTCTCAGACAGTTAGAGGTGGGCTGTGCTAAGGGGGTATGATTACTATGGACACATTCCAGTTCCCATCAAAGAGAACAGGCAGACTCATATTAACTTCAAAGGAGCTGGATCTGGTCCTGTATTATATATATCTACTGTAAAAAGGGTCTTCTAATGGATATTAAGTCTACAGTGAAATGAGAAGACCAAAGATGGTGTGAAAATTAATTACCATGCTATTGGCCCCTCTCTTATAGCTTAATATGAGAATTAGATTTACTTAACTTAAGGAATGATATTTTTAAAGCAGTTTTAAGTAACTTTCAAGTTATCAAGTCCCACTTATGACACATTGGTCATAGTTTCAATGATCTAAGCTTTCAAAAAGTACTCAATGTACTCAGATATATTGAAAATACGATTAAAGAGAACTACTCTGTCAGATGGTTTATGTAAGGGAATGAAACAACTTGGCTGACAGAAAAAAATTAAGGGGGTATTTGTTGAAGGGCCTGGGACAAAGGCTGTGCAACAGCTTCCATTTATAGACAATAAAAAGCCTGTGGGAAACCACTGTAATTATAGTTTCATAAAATGCCGCCTGCATGGTTTGGAGGCTAAGCACGATGACAGCCATGTTCCTAGAGCAGAGATGAGAATGTAATTGAAGATGCTGCTGGCTTTGAGTACTCCTGCTGGGGAAGTGAAAAAGGTCGTTTTCCTCACCTGCATATCCCACTGCTCCACAAGCTCCAGTGGAAGTCCAAGCCAGCAGTAGTAACCATGAACTGGCCTCCCAGCTGTTGGAGCTCGTATTAGAAACTGGTGGCACAGGACCACCATAGAGAGTGACAGTATTTCTTACACTGTAGCAGCTGGAATAGGGAAAATAGTGATTTAATAATATTGTAGATACAAAGTAGGTTTTCAAAATCTTTGCTTATTAATAGCAAGAAGGGAGTTAAGTATACATTGGCTTAGTTGCAGAAATAAATCTGTGAAAATGGGCAAACTTTGTGATGCTTTTTGTTCTTTCTGTCAGGGGAGAGGTATGGCTCCCAGAAAGGACTGATTATCCTCACCAGTGCTGTGACAGCTGGCGCTGCTGAGGAGTTTGTCTTCATAATGAAGAGGCTGGGCAGAGCACTCATTATTGGGGAACAGACCAGTGGTGGGTCCCATTCCCCACAGACATACCAAGTAGATGATACCAACTTCTACATCGTCATCCCCACTGCACGATCAGTCATCTCTGCAGAAAGCACTTCTTGGGAAGGGAAAGGGGTGACCCCTCACATGGAAACACCAGCGGTAACAGCCCTCATCAAAGCAAAAGAGGTGCTCAGTGCTCACCTGCACAGCTCAAGATAGTCCAATGGGGGCATGTGCTTCTCAAAAAAGTAGGTAGCTGTGGTTTTCAAAGGAGCCTGATGGACTTGCACTCTCATGAGCTGAACCAAAAATGGGTTTTGGAGCCCAGAGCAAGACTTACTTCTAATTTCAGTAACTAATGCAAAATTGAGACCACAAATATCTAACAGGGTGTGTATGTGTGCATGTGAAAGGATGAGAAGGGTACAGGTGTTTCTCTATATGTTATCTATTTGTTTTCTGCCCAAGAACTCTGTTCCATCAGGAGAAATAATTTCTGCAACTAAAAATAATTCACAAACCTTGGGAATTGTGCTGTTATGGGCAACAGAAGTGAATCTGAGTTCCTAGAAGGAGAGGGAGGCTTCACAATGGAATTTCATTTCTTGAATGAATTTTTTGGTAATCTGGTTCCTCAGGGAAGAAAGCCATCTCCAGATGCAAACCTTAGAAAGGAGTGGGAACTTGAGTTCAATTTCAATAGTGAGTTTTTCCTTTAACATAATTCTCAGTGACTCTGCTTTTAACATGCTGGTTTTTTACCCCATTCTGAGGAACTCAGCTCTTTCTGGGCATGGTTAAGATAATTGGATATATCAGTGGGGTAGCTGGATTTCTTTCCTGTGGTCAAATGTAAACGTTCATTTTTGCATTGTCTGTTTTTTCCTAAGATTTTGCTCCAAATAACAGAGATTTACTTTGGTCCATTAGAAAATCCCAGCAGATTGTATTGAAGGCACACGAACCACCTTAAAGCATTTATGCAAGGGTAGAAAAGATACCTGCTCTTTCACCCAGTGATCATATCAGCACTCAGAGAAAATAACTGTATGGACTTAAGGCTAAAAACAGATCATCGTGTGCTTTGCCCCAAAGACAAGAAGAAAACAAAGAAATATCCTTTGTGCCCTGCTAGCAAACCAGTTATTAAGTGATTGTGTATTTCAGGGCAATTAACAGGGTTATTGGAATGAATCTACTCAATGCCCTCCATTCTTACAATTCCTATCTAACCTTCTTTGTAATGATTTAGAAATGTGTAATGATTTAGAAATGTGTATAACTCTAATATAGATATCAAGATTCCCTATATCTGCAAAATACCAGCTTTAAGGCAATTAACTTAGAAAAATTGTGCCCTTAAATGTCACCAATTAGAAGCTGTAATTGTAATACGTTGCTCTTTGCTTGATCATTTGTGAGTAGCTGCATTTTTCATAAATCACATTTAAACATCTATCTGCAGAGATCTCTTTTAGTAATCACTGAAATCATTTTAACAACAAAGTAGACTTTCCATCTTTTTTGCTGCTTGTTCATCTTTCCAGTTACTGTTGGTGCGATCACTAACCTGGACTCTTCTGAGTTATTTTTGTACTCTGATTTTTATTCAGTAGCCAGTTGTTGGATTTCTCAGTGTTGTAGAGCCATTTTAATGGATTGAAACTCATAGAACATTTTGTGTGAAGCAATATATATACATGAAGAATATTAAAGATAATAAGAAAAAGACTGGAGTAGTCAATGAATGAGTAAACACTGGTGTATTCCTTCTAATGTCTTTTAAGCTTCTTTAATAATCTAAATGATTTAGATACGCTTTTTTCCTCAGCACAGTCTGTTGTGCTGTCAACAAACAGTAGTGGTTCTCAAATGCAACATTTATGAACTGTGGTCATCCATTTGGAGACCAAGTACTACACCAGATGGGCACAAATAGCAAATTATTTCTTTGCCAAAGTAATATGATAAGTACTTTCAAACGATAAAACTTTAATGATTGGAATGTAGTTAGGTAAACAAGAAAAGAAAATGCATTTGCTAGTGACTCCATTTGATATCAATAATGCTGTAATACTCCCTCAATAGAAAGCAATTGTATAGAAGATTACACTGCACTGAAAGGCTAGAACATCATCAAACTATGAATGAAATCGGTTATAGAAAATAGATGGTTTGTGGTTTGTGTTAGAGAGTTAGATTGAAGCTGTCTTATAAATGGACTGAGTTAATTCTGAAGTGCTCTTCCAGCTTTTCACACAACAGAAAACACACTGAAACCACCACTCTTCTCTCTTCTGGTTCCAGAGCTGAGATGAAACTTCACGAGTTTTGTAGCATCATTTCCTATCATCCATTCTAGAACAACTTTCTAATGGTTAATTCTGTTAATGTTCCTTTCAAAGGAGGCAAGAAATAAATGAGTATACCAGGCCTCCTAACTGTATGATCCACCTCATTTTAGAGTTCACAAGACTCTGACCAAGAATTGACAGGCAAATTATTCATTTTTTGCACTACAGAATGGTATTGTTCTTGCTCTCTAGACAGTGTTTTTAAACCAGACACCACTGATCACACCACAAAAGATGCCCTAGCCCAGTTTTCAAACTCTAGACCATAGGGAATTCATGTCTGTATCTAAGAAATTAGTGAAAAATGTTATATTTTTCCTCAAAATATCTCTAGTTGTAGAAAACATACAGATCCCTGCTGTCAAATCATAGCATTACACTGTGAGACTGAAGGATTAGCTTAATGCATTCCTCAAGTCCCTGCATTTATTCAAGAACCCCCTGCTCTAATAGAATGCCTTTCCTTCAGCAGGATTTTCTTTCATCTGTACCAGTCTGAGTGTTCAGACTTCTAGTCATAAGAAAAAACTTTCCAACATGACCCAATTACAGGATACTTCTTTTTCTTTGTCTCATTATGTTTCCTTCTGCCTGTGCTGCCTTGGTTCACTCAGCTTTAATATGAAAATTTTCATATAAAGAAATAAAATCTCCAAAATTCTTGAATAAGCCCAATGCTTTATGTAACCCTTAATGTAACTTAAAGGAGACAATCAGTAAAATGTGAAATGCATAAAAGACATCCCCCCCAGCTGCATGAAGGGCTTTGCACAGAAGTGTAGTTTACACATAGGGAATCAAGTTCTGGTTCTGTTGACTGTGCTATTTTGCTCTGATGTTGGCACAGGTGTAGCTTGCAACAGAATGTGATACAGAATAACTGTGTGTAAACAGATCTTACCTTACAAAATGCTTTAGTCTTCAATGTAAAAAGCAATTTGCTTTCACTCAGTCCTTGAGCCAACCTAAAACAGACAAGACAGAATAGCAAACACTTCCCTGCAGTGGGGTTTCTGGTGTGCAAGAAGAAAATCCCTGCCTTTACATGCTAGTACCAAACTGTGCTGCTCCTGCAACTGGAGGGGAGGAGGTGGTGATGGCATCAGAAGAAAAGCTGATTAAAAAGCTATCCTCTTCATTTTTTTAATCTCCAACCACCTTTGGCATGCTTCATAACTGTTTTTCTTGCTTTTCTACGTACAGAAGGCATTTATTTAGATTTATTTGTCATCAATGTATGATGTGGCTGAGCCTACAAAGATGCTGGGTAGGAGTTTTCTTTTTTTTATTTATTTTTTCAGCAAAGAAATTAGCTTTATGAGATATGGAAAGTCTCTCTGTAATCTTGCTGTTTAATAAGCTTCATGTAATAAGCTTCATGTCATAAGCAGAATGAAGAAGTTCAATTACTGCTGAGAGCTCTGACGATTCAGGTCTAACACACCACTGGATGAGGTTTGAAGACTTGACAGCTTTTTATCAGGGGCCAATTTTCCACACTTTCTCAAGATGACTTATATCAACCAAAGGTCAATGAAAACATCCAATCAGTGAGGTCTGGTACAGTTTCTTTCTGGCCTAGATGCAGCGCACTGGAAAAAAAAAAGGCCCTTGGAGTAGACAGTGCTTAAGCAGTGCACCAACGTAAGACCAGGAAGCATTATACAGTTGATCCTGTCTTTTTCCAGAAGAACTCTGAAGTTTCTAACATACAACTGCTAATAAAATGCAGTATCTTTCAGTAAGCAGAGGGAAGAACATTTGGTAGCAGTGGTACCAAGCAACATTCAGTCTTATTTATACATGGCAAGATTGATATGAAAGTCATTGATGTAAATCAGGAGTAGCAACATGGAATTATTCTAGATTTGCACTGGAATAAATGAGATCACAGTCTGGCCTAAACTGTTAATGGGAGCTATAACTCTAGCTGCATATGAATGCAGTTACACCATGGAGTCCTTTATTACACTTTATGGACACTGACTTTTCACAGCAAACTGGCTGGCACTCAGACAAAACAAGATGGAGTGGAATTTGGCCTGTGAAACCTTGCCATAAATATGTTCCTTATTCAGAAAATGTTATTGGACACAAAATAGAGATTGAAAGATTGGGAGGAAAACACATCATCTCCTACACAGTGCAAGGTTGTTCCCTGTGCTACGTGTTTCAAAGCTTTTGTTCCCTTTGGTTTTCAACGACTCAGGCGAAAGAGCTTCCTCCACTGACACGGAAAGCTGTATTACAATCCAACCAGATCTCCAATCTCAATTTATATCTTCTGAATTCAAAGACACAGTGTAAAGATTTAATCACTTTATCTTGGAAAATAAAGCTGGAGTGGTTGGCCTACAATATGTCAAATGTTCATGCTAATAGGGAACGGCCATGTATTAATGTTGAACAGCAGTATACTGGGAAGAATACAGTTTCCTGACTTACAGAAAGAGGTAACAGTGTGGGTAATATGTTGATCCCAACTGACAGCCTAAGACCTTAGGGCTGTCTTTTGTCATTCAGATGTCTTTATGTGCTTTCTGATACTTGCATTATCAACATCATCATGGCAACTCAATGAAAACTTTTGTCCAGTGTGCTGCAAACACTGGACTGTATCACTGGCATGATGGAGAGTAATAAGGAGCAGATTTCAATCTCCTATACAAACTCCAGGGGTACTCTTAGCTGTGAGATGAACAGTTAATGATCATTACTTGAAAGGGAATAATAGCACATGAGGCACATAGAGAGGTCACAAAACCAGGAGACCACGTTAAAAAAAAAAAAAAAAACCATACAAAAGAGACAAATGCTCATTTGAAGAACATGTTGTCATAAACTATCAAAAGTAAGTCTCTAAATGAATTTAAGATGTAATGAAAGGCTAATTAGATGAGCTGCAGTAACAACAGGCAGGACTGCTGCTTTCTTCTCCCTCCCGTCCCCACCCCCCCAAGTAATACCAACTCATCTGCATCTGAGTCTAAGCAGAACACAAACCAAAGGAGGCAACAGAAAATCATCTCATATGGACTGGCTACAGAGAGGCCTTGGCATCTTCTTCGAAACATCTGGAATTAGCCAATGTAGAAACCAGATGATAGAAATGGTCTCATCCAGTGCAATTCATGAACAACTGTGTCATTTTGTGAAGGACATTCCTCTTCTAGCTGTCAGCAGAACAGAGCCTACCAGCCAGGATGCAGAACACAGGTTCTATCTAGCATTTGCTAGCAGTAACTCAGGCACCCCAGCTGCCTTCTTCAGTATATCCATAAATTGAAATCCACAAGCGAAACCCTGCCCGATCAGACCTGCATGCATGCAGAAGTCACACAGATCTTGCAAGCCAACCTCTGGGAAAAATCTGTGCTCCCTTCCTTAAATGATTGTTTGACTACAGCTCAAACTTCGATACAGATGCAGACTTATCAGATTTTGTATACATTATTTCAAAAGCAGCAAAGCCTAGAACTCAGCTCAGGCTGAGCAAGAGGCCATCACAACTGATACAAACAGTAACTTTGTTTCTTTTTGCATACAAGCATGTAGATTTAAAGATTCTGCGTTCAGTGAAGAGGTTGCTGCTTCTGTATTTACATTGTACAGCACAGACACCAGCAAATCAAATTTTATCTGCAAAATGATACCTTTGTCCCCAAACTTTGTTTGCAAATTAATACTGCGTGTGTGCATTCATTTCACAATTTTATTTCCTCAAAAATAGATTGACAAGGGCCAGGCTGAGTTTGCAAAACTTACAACCCACTCAGACTTTTGTAAACATATCATATTTTTTTTTGCAAAGCATCGATTATAAATTACTGTAAACAGTGATTTTCTGTAAGAAATTAATGTAAACGCAAAAAAGAAATGGATACAAATGAACGATGTCCCCCTGCTCTACCCAACCTGCCCAGTCCCTTGGTGAGACCCATCTGCACAGCTCTAATTGTGAGAGGTCATGTGCCGGGACAAATGATGGCGTTCTCGGAAGTACTCATGACAAATGGGACATGTGAGCTTCTCCTCCCGTCTCCTCTTGCTCTGGGATTCAGTTGAAGAGTATTCTTTTTTGTGATGTGACCGCATGTGGAAGACTAAATCGGAAGTCATGCGAAAGGATAGGTTGCATTTGGCACACCAGTTCTGGGCAGCCACTCCAAAGGATGTGAAGGTGGGGGGAAGAAGAGTCAAGGAGGAGGAGGTGGAAGTGGAGGAAGAAGTAGTGGTTGTATTCTGTAACTGTCCTGCTTGCTTGTGCCATGGTTCTGAGCTATAAGGGAAAACATTTCCCCGAATGATGCTAGTCTGCAGCATCTGAGCATTACACAAATCACTGACAAAGAACTTGGAATTGAGAAGAGTGCTGCAGCACATGATGTCTGTGGTGGCGATGAAGCCAGACAGCTCCCCCAGGCTCTTTGGTGACTCACTCATGGGATGAGAAGAATTTATTGCCACTCTTTCTGCAAGACATTTACTGGGCTTGCTGAAAGCACTTTTCTGCTCTCCTTGGCCTCTGGCGGGCCACACAAAGGAGAATGCACTACCAGAGGAGTTCAGCAATGCCTCCTTTGATACCTGCTCCTTACCAGTGGGAACTGTGCCATCCTCCTGGTCTGACTCTTTGGGTCTCTCATTCCTCAGCTTCTCCTTTGTCGTCCTGACCTCAGTGAAAGCACTCTGCTTCTGCTCAAAAGCCTCCTTCCTAGCTGACTGCCTTCCTGAACTCGGCTTCCAGAAAGAACCAGCTGGTGCATGCTCTCCTCCAGCCTCTTCCTTGCCCCCACAGTTATGTTCCTCACTCAGATTATTTGTTTTCTCCAACAACACTGTTTTCCTGCTCCTGTTGTTCTCAGCCTCTTCTGATTTTGCTCTCTTTTCTCCAGTGAGACCACGAGCATCATCTTTGCAAGCTGTCATTTTGACCTCTAGATCCTTTGCCAGGCTGTGGAAATTCATGTTCTGCTCCGCTAAGGTGCCTTTTTCACCCTGGAAGCTCCTCCATAGGGCACTCTTCTCTGGGATGCACAGGAAGCGGACGTGGGACAGATAGGAATGCTCACATCTGAAGACTCGGTTGCATTCTTGGCATATCATCTCTGCAGAAAGAGACAACAGATTACGAGTTTTGCCAAGATAGAATCATGGATGCATGCAGATCCTGACCATGTCATTGACACAAACAAAAGCACAAAAGTGTCTCTTATGTCATTCAAGGTGATACGTGGTAAATCTAAAGTCAGAGTGAGATCCCTTGCTGTTATGGAAAATGATTCATGTCTGTTTGCCTCCATGTGCTACTTGCAGAAATGCTTCCATGCAGCCCCTTCAGCCATGTTTGAATTTGATAATATTGCCAGTATGCAATAGTCCAGATAAAACCATAAAAACTTTGGGACTATACTACTGCATTCACCATCTTTACTAGAGGATGAATGTTTATTTCTCTGCCACCCATGTATCTCTCACCCATGTAATGACATGGACTAGAGGTGGCCTCAAAGATTTTGGCACAAGCCTCTGATTTCTGCAGAGGATACTCTGAAAGTTTAATAAGTTATACAAATCATTTGATGCTAGTGCCTAAAGCTCTTATTCATGCTCATTTGGCAAACTGTTCTACGTCTCAAGGCATAGATGCCTGTGGCATAGAAAATATTCAATGTGAAACAATGTCAGTCATGAGCTGGAGAAATGGGGATGTGCATTAGCGTAATACCATCTCTTTCTTGCTTTCAGATGGGAATAACTCAGTGACCAAGAAGCATACTGCACATCTTAAACACTGTTATGCATCCATGCTCCAGCATTCCACAACATGCAGCAATTTATAAATGCAAATGATGGCAGAGGGCTCCTGAAGTCTGGGGTATATAGAAAAATTCACAAATTGGCTGGGAAGAATTGGAAAAACCTAAGCTGTAGACTTAGTACAGTATAGATCATCATTTCCCAAACTACGGAAGCTGAGCTTTTTGTGTAATAACTGTACCGCTGTTGGTTTCAAGTCTTGCATCTAAATATAGTGTTTCTTGCACAGACAGCACTTTGCCCTGACAAATTCACAGGGCTGATACTGTGTGTCTACATAGAAGCTAACAGAATATGCTGAAATCAGTTAAAGTGATTTAGTGGGTATCTGCTATAAATGTATTTACATTGATTTAATAGTAAAATACAAACAAGTACGTTATCGTATAAACTGACCAACCTATATCTATTACAAACAAAGCTTTATAAGTTACGTTTAACTCCAGAAAAGGGAATGTAGAAAAAGGTTTCTTCCATTTTGACTAGATCAAATTTTGAAGCAAATTTCTTCATGCTCTGTGCCTCCAGCTCAAACCCCAAAGCACAAGGTCTGACCTGTTAACTGCTGAGGGTTTAGACAGCTTTTATTTCCTGTATGACAGGATCAGCACATACTAAATGAGTTGCAGGCTCACTTCAGTCCTCAATGACCTCTACACGGCCAGCAGTCTGGAACTTACCATTCTGGGGACTCTGAGTTTTTATCTCATTGAAACCCAAGAGACTGGAAAGCTCTTCATCATACCAGACAAGTAGCTCCTCATTTTTATTGATTTTCCTGGTAGAGCGATAATATAACTGACTGTTTTCTAAGTAAGCTTCCAAGTTTTGCTCCTTGCTATTGGCAGCTGCTTGTACGAGCCTCATCCAAGGCAGTCCTGTAGGACTGTGCACAGACGTGACGTCTACCTGTGGGACAGAACACATAAAAGGGGAAGTTTCAAGTTCTGGGAGCCAAAATAGATGTCCAACAAATTCAAGAAAAAAGGTCTTTTTTTCTACATCACACAGAAACTGTGCCAAAGCAGTGAGCCCAATCCTTATACATCTGTGACCAAAGTTGTGGTGGGGAGAAAGATCAGGAGTTAACAACCTAATATTAAGTCTATTGCTCAAATAAAATTTTCCTTCTGTATACATGTTACAACACAGTGCTCAGTTGCAAAAAGGCTTTTCTCCACAGGGCTACTGAGTCCTTTAGTTGCAGGTTGACCACACTCTGGAAATAATATAACTGTAAAACATTTCTTTTTCTCTTCCTTGTTCAGTGTGTGGCTCCCATCTTATTTAATTGATTGCATTTGCTTTGAATAGGGAATGATTTATTTCTTTATAGGTTTTTCCTTGGTGTTTACCACAGCAGAACTATGTCCTCTGCAGTGTTTGAAAGATGGGGAAGATTTTCATAGCTGGGAGGCTGAAACAGAGGGTGATCAAGGGCAACATTTACACACATAAAAAGCCTCAACTAATTTTTGAAGCACCAAGTCATTGTTTTGAAAGGAAGAAGTTTGGAAATGAAAAATGTCTAATGACAAGTATGATCCAAGTTTCACCCCAAGCAATGTATAGCTCTTTGTTTTCCACTAATTGCAGGATGGCCATTCATTGGTGTTTTGCATCAGAAACAGTATTTAGGTTGTTTATTTCTCTGTTTTTAACTCAGTCTGACTGCTACTTACGAAGAAAAGTATGGCTATAATAGTCACTTGGATATGGAAGGAAACATTAAGAGAACATTAGTATAAAAGTTAATTAGTATGAGGGAGAAAATAAATTTGCATGCTCCGTAACTGGTTCTCTCAGAACAGCATGGTAATTAACAGTGATTGAGAAATCTTGAAGTCTGACAGCAACACAAGCACACCCACCCACAGACACAGTGGTTGCAACTAATAGCTATGACAGAGGCTGTCATTTATTAGTTTTTGTGTTTCAGAAATACCAAGAACCCACCCGGAGCTCTAACCAAAGTCAAAGGGAACACAGCTCCTCCAGGAACCAGACCTCCAGGGCAGGAGTTGAAAGAGCTCACAGGAGGAATCAAGGGCAGAACAGCAGACCTGGGTGCACTCAGCTTCAATCATGAGCCCACTATGGCTTTTTCTCTCCCTGGATTGGCAGTCCTTCAGGTGAATCCTTTGCATCCACACATGAGGGAAGGGCTTTACTGCCCAACAGGCTGTACCAGAGTGCTGTGAAGATATTCTGGCTTCCCTGATACAAGCTGAAGGAGAAAAGTGAGAATAAGTCTGCTCCTTGGATCCAGGAGGCAAAAGCATGAGAAGCTGCAAGGGGCAGAGGAAGTCAGAGGAAAGGATAGATTTTATGAAGGACTGATTTACTTTGCATGAGTAAAGCATTGGCTGGAAAGAACCACCTGTGCCAGTGGTTGCATAAGCATAGAAATTTGGCTCAAGGAGCTCAAATTAAGGCCTCCAAGTAGATGAGAGGAAAAAAACAGAACTCCCTTTGAACTAAACATAAAAGCCTAAGAAGATGAAAATCTTTTTGGAAATTATATTCTCCAAAGCCCTGCTGAATTGCTGCTGAACTAGGGTGAGCACTAAATTCAGCTGCAGAGAATCCAGCTTATCCTTTGTCCCTGTGTTTTTGCTATAGCCAGCATATCAATACCCATTTCTTGTTTTCCCTTCAGTGCCATGACAATATTGTGTCATTGTGATTGTATCATTAATTAATTGTCTGCACACAGAGTTGCAAGCTAAACAATAATTCCTGATTTCTGGAAGGTTTAGTTTTAATTTTGAGAAGCAAAGAGGATATGGGGCTAAGGGCTGCATCTGAAATAGCTACTTGCACACAATTTGATGCATTGACTGACAAAAACAGAGATCAGAGCCGGTTCAGACATTCAGTGCCATGCCTTCATAACAACTCCTAACTCATATGCAGCAAAACTCTAAATCCCTCCCACTGCAGGTCTGTTCCAGTGTAGAAACTCTTTGCGATTTTTCCTTGACTCTACTCATTCTAAAACTCCCAGGAGGAATAAAGAATTATTCTATGGAGTCTGATCTCAGGAGGGTTAATTCTCCAGAGAGCTGATAGTTGTCCTGAAGCACTGATAATCCAGCCTGAGCAGGCTAACTTGTGTCAGGGACTCAAATGAACAGTCAGTAAAAGTCTGAAGCCTCTTTATCTTTTTCTTGATTTCTTTAAAGCAAAAACATCAAGCAGATGTCTCCAAACAGATACATCTTCCATACTACACATTCTGCCTGGAATTTCTCTAAACTACAGAAAACTTAAAAGAATCAGTTATTTCTTTACATGGTGTCCCTGTCTTCATCTACACCAGTGACGACTGAAATGCACTCCAAGACCCTGAAGGCTGAGATAAGATGCCAGCAGGAGAAATAAGCATTGTCCAAATGAAAACGTCATGATGAACAGCGGCTATGGAACAAAATATTTGGGAATTAGAAATTGAGATTAAACAGATTAAAATTCACTCCAACACCATCCTGGGGCTCCTGACCTCCCCAGTATGATGGTTCATTTTGTTTCACAGCCCCAGTTCATTGGCTTTCCTGCAGTAATTTCAAACAGCAGGTGCAATGCAGAGTTATCTGAGGTAACTTCAGCTGATCCGTGTACTAATAGTAGTAGGATGTGGCTACCTGAATAATGTGTGGGCCAGCTGCCTGATTGACATCTTTTACACATCATACTAAAGTCACTGCCAATAGTAGTTTTACTTTTATGGGTAACTGAGAAAATCAGATTTACAGTGCCTCCTAGTAAACCTCCTGTGTTCTTTGTAAGGAGAAAATCTGAGTGAGATAAGTGAAGATGCAAAACTATTCATCCCTCTTTCCTCCTGCTTGCAGTCAGTGCTGAAGCAGGTTGTCAGTCTTGAGCACAGAAACAGGACTTTGTATTCTTCCTGCAAAGGCAACAGTTTTCATTGAGGTTCCCCCGGTCTACAGCCCATAAATCAGCAATGCATCATCTGCTTCTCCCTTTTGGAGGAGCTGTTAGTTGTGCTGAACAGAGAAAAAATCTACCCCTTACAAAGTCAGGATGCTGTAAACCTGAAGGATGATGTAACTCTGTCTGACAGGACTAGCATCAAGCATTGCTTTTCCCCACCTTAAACACATAGTGAATGGTCCGTCTATCAGAACACTTGAGGGCAATAAAAGCTACAGTGTCCAGCAGGGTGTTCTGCAGCATGCACGGGCCAAAAACAGCTTCTTCAGGAATGTCTTGTGTGGTGTGAACAGTAGCCAGTATATCCGGGAAATGGTGATGCAGAAATCTGTTGTCACTTGTCCAAAGGAATTTAGGCAAAGATGTGAGTTCCATCATAAACCTGTAAAATAACAAGAAGTCACACTTGGAATACAGATGGTAATGGAAGGAGACATCACTACTTAAAATATAAAGGCTTCTAGAAACTGCAGGTGAATCATAAGAGCATGCCAAAACATTGTCAGTTGGAGTTTACAGCTTTGTTAACATCTCATTCAGAAAGGGAAAAGCAACTTTGTAGTTAACCAAAACATGAGATTTGTAAACAAGTTGATTACATTTTTCTGGAACAGTCAGACAGTCCAGGAGCCCAGCTGCTCTGCACTGCTACTCCTCATGGCCAGGAATAAGAAACATTGGGAACAGTAAGCTAAATTTTCAACCAGTAGAATTTTGTATTTTCTTTTCCAGTATATTCTCAGGTAACCTTCTTACTTATTACTGGTAGCTTGCAGAATTGTGAAGAAAGATGAGAAGGACAGCAACAACAAAAAAAAAAGCAGATGTAATCTGAGATGGGTTTTGAAAAAGTCATGTTCTTTAGTTTGGAAGCGTGACATCAGTCTAAGTACTCAGGTGCACAACCAGGAGTAAACTGAGTGTCTGCTCAAACTGAATGCACAAAATCTCTGTTGACTGACACAAGGATTATATCCTTCCCTTCCCAGAATGTACTTAAGATAATAGTTATTAGCTGTTGTTAGGAAAATCAAATCAGATTATGACTCTTGCCATTAGCATAATATTAGGAGAGATTGGTGTGCTCAGGGGGTTGAATTTTCTTGCCCTGAATGTCGAATATTAAATCTTTTCAGTGCAGAGGCGATTTCTGCACTATACACCTCAATCCGAGATATGCGTATGCAGCAAAGATGTAGTTTTGTGCTATTTGCCATTCTGAGCTTCCCTAGGCTTTTAATGAAGATATTGCCATCTCCTGCTCCCAGATGGAGGACATGAAAAAACCCTAATTTATGCCATCAAGAGCTGGATCAGGTCCATTAGGCACAGAAAATTAAAGAGAACAGCAACAAGCCCTGAAGAGGCCTTAGCCTAATAAACACCGAGATAGAAGGGCTGAAGATCCAGTCTAATCTTTCTCATTCTCTGCCAGCAGAATTGATTTGTTACTCACTGACTCGTGACTTAAACTGAAGTGATATAATGTGCTCAGGAGAGTTGCACTGATTTAACTAAATCAGTTTCTAAATCAGTATCATTAATTCAGAATAATGTCCTCCTCATAGGCAAGGTCTGAGCCCCCATCCTGGAAATAAGGAAATGCATGTTCACGTATGCAGAAAGTAGTGAACCTCTGAAGGATGAAGGTCTAAAACAGACAAGCAAGACAAAGAGTGGGAGGTAAAAGGGTAAAAAACATGTCAGCTGACTTGCCAGATATTAGGCCTTAAGAGGAGGATAGAACAGGACTCTGCTTTCAGTTACTGATGAATTTTATTGCCTGGTTTCCCAATAACCTGATAAAGTCACTACTGGTGTAAGAACAAGATGATGTCTTCTGTGTGCACATTTGTACAACACAGGATCTGCCTAAATGAATACAACGAATTCCTATGTTTGTCTGTTTCCATTTAAGCAGTACTGATTTTTAATAAATGGAGTGAGGCCATCTTTTAAAATTAATAATAATGCAAAAAATAAAAGCTCCATACCATCAGAAAAATAAATTTGAGATCTAAAATGCTTCAGTGTACCTCTGCACAAGAAAGCATTTAGAAACAAGTTACAAGCTAAAACAATCTCTTTTGTAAGAGTCTACATTTGGGGAATTCTTAATCCCTTCTAGCATTATTTTATTTATCCACTTACAACTTTAGATTGCAAGCCCTCTCTCCTTTCTAATTCATCCAAATGTCTCCATGTATATAGGAGAGTGTTGTACATTAGCTATCTCAGTGTCCCTTCAGAGGAAGCTGAATTTTCTGTTTTCTTTGATGCCCTCAAGACTGAATTTGCAGGACATTGCTGAGGATGTGCATGCGAGCACACCCGTGTCAGAAAGGGATGGGTCACTGGCTGTGCTGTCCCAACCTCCTCCAGAAATCCCCACTGAGGTATGGATACTGGGCTTGAAGGAATATAGACCTGATTCCAGCCAGGTCCTGCTGCCTCGTATCTTTCCCTGTTTCAGCAGGCATCAAAGAGCATAACCCATAAACCCCAGCATGACAAGAATAATTTCTCCAAAAACTGACAATGTGTGGACACCAAATCTCAGATTTACATGCAACACCACCACCTAGTGATTTCTTCCAGAACAGACATCCCGCAGAGTGACTGACAGAGAGGCAGGACAGGCCTCAGCGCTGCTCCCCACTTGTGTTTTGCTGCCCACAGGGTGGAAGCGAAACATCAGCATGGCTGCTCTGCACTCCTTGGTGCCGGTGCAGCCACTGGCAGTGCAGTGCATGCCACCTGCCTGATGCCCCTGGTCCTGCCCCCCGTCCTGAGTGCTGAAGGGCTTCCATACATCTCACAAAAAGGGCAGAAATCATTCCAAGGTGCAGCAGCCTTTGCCTGCTCTTGCTGTCCCACTGGGCTGCTTGCAGATAATTCTCCCTTCTGGGAGCAAATAAATCAACACACCTTCTGTTCCATTAAATTCTCCTGAATTGAGGGGATGCAGGAAATGGAAGCCAATAAGGTGTATCAGACCACTAACATACCTTTCTTCTATCCAAAGTCAAGCATGTATCAAACTCAACAAGCCTTGTGCTTTGCTTGTTTTCTAAATGACTTGTGAATTAGTCACAGATCTGATGGACAAAAAAATCCCCCAAGTGACATT